AACCCTAAACGCTTAAACCCTAAACCTTCAATCGATCTTGAGCCCAAGATCCGACGCAACATCCTGGAGCAGTCTTGGGGGTGTGGAGCGGTAGCCGTGTAAGCTTAAGGCGGCTTCAGACCATGAAGACGCGAATGACGATTGAACTCAAGCTAAACTTGTCCCACATCGATACTCAAACAAGACAGAAAAGTGTTGTGTGTGTATATATATATATGTATATTATATGTATATATATATATATGTATATATATATATATGTATATATATATATATATATAATGAATACATGCACACTTTGCATACCTTTATCTCTCTCTCTTTCTGTATCTATATGTTTGTTTATATGTATACATGCATATATTATATTATGTGGTATTATATTCTATAATATTATATTACATCATATATTATGTTTTTGTACAATATAGTATACTGTAGTATATTATAGTATATTATAGTATGTTATAGTATATTATAGTATAGTATATATATATATATACATACATATAATGCCATGTTACATTATAGTGTATTATATGCTATTACGATATATTGCTTTATATGATACCATGTTATACTATACTATATAACATTATATTCTATTTTATCTATTTATTCTATTCTATTCTATTTTATTCTATTCTATTCTGTTGTATTCTAGTAAATTAACTTAAGTTATATCAGGTGATATTATATACTATATTTATGATATGCACATATGTATGTATATATATATATATATATACACACACGCACATACGTACACTCGTCGAGCAGGCCGCCGGCCACGTCCTCATCAAGTTCAGCATGAACGCAGACCCCCAGGCGCCCCCCCGTTTCTATGACTTCGGGACTCAGGCACTCAGTGGGCAGATCGCGGCTCCGATTTCGGGCTTCGGGTCTAGGATTTAGGGCCCTGAGTTAATGCAAAATAGTTTTTTGCTTCTGGGAGTGGAGGGATGAGAGTGGGGTGCGTGAGAAAAGTGCATGGTCGGGTATGGAGGAATCGAGCCCTGAAGAGTTGGGGGCGCGGAGGGAGGCTGTTCAGAGGTCCAGGGTCGTGGGCATCGAGTTTCGGGTCACACGGCTCATGTTGCCGTTCTGCGGCTTCGCGACGTGAGGCTTTCTAGAGACTGTGCGCCGGTGCAAAACCTGTCCCTGCCATGTGCGGCTCCAAATTCTCGATTCTCGCGCTGACGTCGATGTGGTAGATTCCGAAAATAGGGAACCCTAATATAGTACCCTAAATAGTAGGATTCCTCATTATAAGGACTCCAAAATAAGGTACCCCCAATTTTCGGAAACCCCCATGTCGCAAACCCAGCGCTTCCCGGGCCTCCAATTTCCAGACCCTGGCCTGGCCCTGAACCCCAAAGGCCCATATAGTACCCTGAATAGTAGCTTCCTCATTATATGGACCCCAGAATAAGGTACCCCTTATTTTCGCGAAAATTAGGGGTACCTTATTTTGGGTCCTTACAATAAGAATCCTACTATTTAGGGTTCTATTTTGGGGTTCCCTAATTTCGGAAACTCCCATATCCTGAAGACTTCCAAGAAGTGCCCCGTCGCAACGGGGAGTCAGAGCGTGGAGAGATCTGCTGATCCGTTAGATCTGCGGTTAGAGCAGGGACCAGCCATGACTTAGGTCGCCATGTTTGGGACACTCCTCTAGGGTTTAGGGTTTAGGGTTTAGGGTTTTGGGTTTAGGGTTTAGGGTTTAGGGTTTAGGGTTTAGGACCTCTTATCTCTTCTCTAAGGGCTTTAGGAGGGACCCTGAATAGGGACCCTTGTAGGTTATTGGGGTTAATGTGGAGACTACCTGGCTATATAAGGGGTATATAAGGACTATACAATGGTTATTTAAGGTAGTGGGATTAAGGGTCTGTCCTTAGAACTCCGGTGCGTAGCAGTCTGCCGAAAAAGCTTAGTCTGCATGATCAGAAGCCCCGGCTGCTCCCTGTTGCGGTTTTTGGGTTTGGGATTGTGGAGTCCGTTTTCATGAAGAGGTAGAGAGCCAAAGAGCTCAGGGGGTGAGGGCGCTTTTCGGATGGCATCGGCTGCTGCGCTTGTACACTGGCTGGGCGCGGTCACGAATCTTGTTTGCAAAAAAGAGCGTGGAGTATCCGGAAAATTCCAACTCTGCTTCTGGGCTCTTGGGGCTCGTGTTTGACTCTCACATGCTGTACCCACAATCTAGAGGCTTCGCTTCAGGTTCTGGTCATGACCCCCCAACCTTGGGCTTCAACGAGTTTCTCTGGTTCAGGGGTACTTAAAGGATCATGGGACTTAGTAAGTAGGGTTATAATTAGCGTAACTATACTTATAAGCCGACTTAAGGGATTTATAACCTTACTTACTAAGTCCCATGATCCTCCAAGTAGCTGGTGGTGGGCAAGGGGATCTTGAGTTCGGAAAAGACGACCCCTCTATGCCGTGGGGCTGTGCCACCCTAAGTCTTGGACCGTCGACACCGGAAGCTCAATCGCAAGTCCACTTCCAGGAGCATCGCCCTTTCTCTGTGCTTCCTGCTGTCTATCGTCGGGCGGGAGCTGGGTGAAGAGCAGCATCTGCTGGATCTCGCTATTCGCGAGAGGCCGCGCACTTTTATGGGGCAAACTCGGGCTTAGGTCCTAAACTCGATGAGGGTTTAGGGTTTAGGGTTTAGGGTTTAGGGTTTAGGGCTTAACCTAGATACCACAAACCTGAAGCTTTCGCGCCAATACCTTGGCAACTGCGGGGGTGTCTGCTGCTTTCTGCATTATATTGATTTGGAAGGCTTTGGGGAAGCCCCAACCTCCACGAGAAACCCCCAGCACCCACTCCCAAAAGCAACAAGAACAGACCATTAAGAAGTACTTAAAGGATCATGGGACTTTGCATGAGACTTAGTAAGTAGGGTTATAATTAGGGTAACTATACTTATAACCCCAACTAAGCGACTTATAACCTTACTTACTAAGTCCCATGATCCTCCAAGTAGCCAGGCAGGGCCCGGTAGTTCACGGTTTGATCTCAGAGGCTGCAGGGAGAGTTTAAAGCCCGTTCTGCACCCGAGCGCCTAAATTCCAATGATGGGTTTCCATACCGTACGTACCGGTTTCGTGGATCCAGCAACACCCTAAACCCCTAAACCCCTAAACCCCTAAACCCCTAAACCCTAAACCCTAAACCCTGAACCCTAAGCTCGAAATCCAGACCCCTGACTCCCAAACCTCGGTGTGCATGCTGTAGAAGTCTGGGAGGATGGCTTCGTCCTCTGAGGCGCCGTTTACCCCGGAGGAGGCTAGCCGCTGTGTGTCATGAATTTATGGTCGCAGCAGTCGCTGCCATGAGCGATTCGTGCGTTTTCGTCGCCGTCGTTTTCGGTCGTCGTCCTCGTCGTCGTTTTCGGTTGTCGTCGCCATCCTCATCGTCGTACAGGAGGAGGACGACTGTGGAGCCGGAGTTCGGGATGCATCGTTCGAGATGTTGGCCCTCGCAACGATCCCTTTGGGTCCTGTGTATTGCTTCATGCATCTTGAACCCGAAGCAGACCACCCGATGGCTCCGGTAAACTCCGAACCTCCGTCAAGAACTGAACCCTCAGGTCCTCTGGCTCCGGCCCCAAGTTGGGTGTCATGATGCATAGGCAACCCCAAGGGCTCCAAGCCCTAAGCCCTAAACCCTAAACCCTAAAACCTAAACCCCTCAACCCTAAACCAAACCTTAAACCATGAACCCAGCCAGGCCAAAGAAGCTAAGCCTCCGGCAGCTGCCTTTCTGGGGGCTGAAGCCTCCACAACGATGCTTCTGAGTGAAGCGTCCACGACGATGCAGGTGCGCCGGAGTTCCTGGTACTAGTATCGACGGTTGAAGATTAATGAATATTGTCTCCCACTATAGTTGTTACATGAGGTGACACTCCTGCATATGTAAGCATTGCTTGTGAAAGCGAACATCGACCGAAGCACTTTTGTTCAGCGGTGCAGCAAACGTGGTAGCAGAGCCCCTCTAGGGGGTCTTCTATCCGCTACGCTGCCCACGCGTGTGACTGGTGCAATTTACTTTGCCAGAATGATTCCACTGCTCCCTTGACTGGGCCATTGGACAATCCTTTTTCTATTGGGTAAGTCCCCCTTTGGGAGCAGGGCACCACCGGGCTCCGCATTTTTCAGTTCCTGCGACCTGGGAAGCTGCATCAATGCTTGTGAGAGGAGTGTGTTTTTCAATTTTCAGTGCGTGTGATTCCGAGGTCCGAGGAAAGAGGGCAGCTCTTGATCCAAGGGACCTGGGAAACAGTTCTTGGTGGCCTGGCAGATCTTTCTTTGCTGGGCTCTACGGCGGGAACGCAGAGATGGAGCAGTCAGGGGCGAGCGTGCCACAGCAGCAGCCAGCCAGCCGGCGCAGACAGGAATCACGGAAGAGCAGATCGACCCGCAACGAAGGGAGCAAGCGTTTGGCAATGTATCTTCAAAGGTCCTAGGGGCCACCGAGCGGGCCAAGCAAAGGCGGCAAGGCAAGACCAGCTGGTCAAAGCGATCAAGGTGGAGGCATGGAACCCGCAAAGCCGCGAAGAAGAAGTTAGGATCTGGAGGGATTGGTTCTTCCAGTTTTGCAAATGGCTGTATGCAACAGAGAGTCAGTATGAGGAGGAGATAGATCTCATAGATCTGGACGAGCCCTGCGACCACATGGTGATGCCTACGCCGTCAGAGCTATATGGTGTTTTGTGCTCCCTGGTTCGGGGGCGGCCCTTGCTGATCATCAGGGGCCTTGAGAAGGAGAAGAACGGCTATGAGGCTCTTAGGCTGCTTAAGCGGGATATGGAAAGAAAGAACAAGAAGCCTGGCCTTTGTCAAGCAAATGGCCAGCTGGAGCTTCAAGGAGGGCACAGGCTTGCATGAGCAATTGATTGCCTATGAGGAGGCGATCCGCAGCTACGTCGCAACAAGTTCCCACCGGACCTCATTGTGGCGACTGTTGTTGGAGGCTTCTCTGAACCCCTCAAGTCGCAAGTGCAACTTAAGCTCACGGACAAGACCGAGTACCACAACTTGAGGGAAAGGATCCTGCAGTACGAGAGCATGAATGCTCCATGGACGGCCTCCTTGAAGCAGCCACCCGGATCTTCGAGCAACCAAGGAGCCCAACCAATGGAGGTGGACCAGACCAAGGGCAAAGGCAAGGACTCGAAGGGTGGCAAGAAGGGAAAAGGCAAGGTCGACAAAGGCAAACACGGCAAGAAAGGACAGTGGCAAGACTATGGTCCCGGCAAGCGAAAAGGAGATGGTGGCAAGCGGCAAGGGCGACAAGACTCCTGGCAGCATGGTCAATGGAAGGGAAAAGACAAAGGCAAAGGCAAAGGAAAAGGGAAACAAACCAGCGCTTTGCTGGCACTTGCCATATATGCGGCAAAAGCCGGCCACTGGAAAATGGGTGCCCCGTGGCCAGGAAAGGCAAGGGCAAAGGCGGGAAGGTGCAGCAGATTGAGGACGGACACAACCGGTGAGGCAGGTGAGCATGGCGCCCATGAACACGCCATCTGCTCGCAAACGCTGATTCTCGACATATCCGCGGAGGGCGACTTTGAAGAGTTTTCTTTGAAAGCCCCAGGAATCATGGTGATCCAGGCCGACTACCTCAGCGTGATCCACGAAGACTACCCGAGCGTGATCCACGACGACTACCCAAGCCTGATCAAGAAGATCCAGGACCATGGCGCGAGGACTTTAGAGCTGGTGGCTCGGTCATCCTCTCTTTGGGGAGATTGCTGAGAGCCGGGTGGTGCCTAGGGCGGGAGTCGAAAGAGCACATCATCTTTAAGGATGGTTGCCGAGTGCCAATACGGCTTCGAAGAAACACTTTGGTCATGTCTGCGATGATCTCGACAATCGCCACCGACGACTCCGGACTGGCCCGAACAGAGGGCTGGGCTATCTTGCCGTCTGGGCTCCCAGTGCTTGTGGCACACAGTGTAGATGAAGTTCCTCTCGGAGGCGAAGTTTGGGACCCACAGGATTGGGAGTCTGTTGCCGTGTTTGAACTCTGTACGCTGGACATCAAAGACGCGTACTTGAACGTACCCCAGAGGGAGAAGGTCATCGTTGAAGTGGATGAGAGACTGGTCGGAGGCAAAGTCAAGAGGATGGTTCCCTACTTCCTTGAGTGCATGTTGCCTGAGCTGGACGTTGTCCTTCGCACCGACTCGGCGGCGGCCCGCGGAGTCAGCCAAAGGATGGGAGCTGGATAGGTGCGCCACATAGCCTGCGCATACTTTTGGATCCAATGTGGAGTCCGTGACAAGGTCTTCCGAGCGCAGCCATTGCAGGAACCCGCAATCCTGCGGAGGTGGGAACAGAGCCGCTAAGTGCTGTGAAGCTGAAGGAGCTTTTTTGCAGGACTGGCGCCATCGACGAGTTCGGGAACTCGTATGGCCAGGAAGAAATGGACCAGGCGGACCGCAAGGTGAAGATCAAGCGAGTTGTGAAAGAACAGCGGCTTCAAGCCCGGGCACACCAAGAACCTGCTGCCCATCCTGATGATCTTACGCTTGGGTTTGGCTATGGGCGTGCAGTTTTTCGAGGATGCGGCTGCAGAGCTCATGGGCACAGCAAGCGCAAATTTGGTTGTGCTTGTCATTATGATGAACCTCCTCTCAGTGGTCTACTATGCCATGAAGAAGACGCTTGGATGGATTTGTAATGGGCCGCAAAAGCAATTTGTGGATGCGGCAATGCAGACAGAGCTTGAGTGGAACACTGCAGAGGCAAAACGGAAGCCTGATGAACGGCTATGGGCCGACGAGTACACTCGAGGGACCTCGTGTGTAGAAGCGGGTCGACACAAACTGTGTGCCGACCCGAGGCGGGGTGTTACACGAGGTGACATTCCTGCAAAGGCAAGCATTGCTTGTGAAAGCGAACATCGACCGAAGCCCTTTTGTTCAGTGGTGCAGAAAGTAATAATGGAATCCCCCAAACCCTATAGGCTTCTACTAACAAAACCGCCGTACAAGCACCGTAAACCCTATGTTCACAGTACCAGTGGCTATCAATGCCTTGTAACATCCCTTGTGCTATCTACGTACTTGAACGATAGCAGAACCCCAACCGCTGTTCTGATTGTTCAGTATAGATCCCTTACAGAACCCTTGAAGATTGGCTATGCCATGCCTCGATATTAGCCGTCTTGCGGAGGACAACCGACTGCACCAGGCGACGGGCTGCGACGAGGCGCCAAATGGCTTCAGGTTTCTCTTCTTTGGGTGTTTTGAGTCTTGGGCTTACAGGTTTGGGGGCTGTAAGAGTTGCAAATTTAAAGTTTGGGAGCTTCAGGCTTCAGGCGTCTGCTCTTCAGAGCTCGCATCTGCCGATGATCCATGCCAACTGTTCTGAGGTCTCGGCGCAGATTCCGAAATGCGGAATCCTTGTCCCACCAAACCTTAAAGCTTAATTCCGAAGCTACGTCTGCTGGACGTGCCCACTGCACCAAGCCATGTGAGGCGTGGCTGAGTACCGGCCAGCGTGGCAAGCCCTGCCCCTACGTCCGCGGGGCACCCTGCTGCTGGAATGCCACCCGTGAGGACCGGAGGGGCCGCAGTCCGAAATGGCTAAGTTTACCGTAAATCCCGAAGCCATACAAAAGGCCGAAGTTCCATTGCCAAAAGCCGTTCTACGTCCTGCGAAGCTTCAGTGCCCATTATAATTCATTCGATGTACTCTGGTTTGACTTATGAAGCCTCCTGCCTATCAGGCGTGCACCGAGTGCATCGTGCCGGTGACGCCTGCATCAGAGTATGATGATGCTGCCCACGTCAGCAATCAGCCATGTGCACAGGTGCCTGGGCGGTTGAGGCTTAGTGTTGGCGACATCCGCCACAAAGCTAAAGCCCAACATCCGCAAAGAACATACAAAAGCTCGAGACCCTATACCCCTAAAGCCCCACATCCCCCAGAGTCCCAAACTCTAAAACCCTCAAATCCTAGAGAACGAAGCCTACCGGCCCATGCTACGTTTGGTTTCGTCGACTTTCCTTCTTTGTAGATTTCTGGGTTTTTTGGTGAGGGTGTTCTTCCCGAAGTCCGAAAGCCTCGGAGGCGCAGAGCGGCAAAGGTCGCGTTGCGGTGATGAGCCTTGGCTGGACAGGAGCTTTTCAGACCCTGGAGGTTCCCAGCTTCAGAGGAATGGGGTCATCATGAAAGGTCGCCCCGCTTGCAGCTGATGCAACTCCGCATTCTTGCATAAGGATCGGGTGATTCTCGTGTTTGTGGGTGGGCGGTCTGCAGTTTCGGATCCCGTCCAAAGCCCCTGCTTGGCTGCTGAGTACTCGTAGAGCGGCGATTGAGATCAGCTTCCTGGGGGTGGCTATACATGGGATGTTGTAGGGGATGAGTCCTTCAAGTTGAGCTTGGTTAGTTTTGGTGAAAGGCGACTTGAGCCCACAGGCAAATCCAGCTAAACTCCAGACGCAAAGCTTCCCCATGATCATTGCGAATGAACCCAAGTCAAGTCCCTCGCTCCCATTCGATCAGCTGCAGAAACGTGGGCCTCTTGCGTGCAAACTGGTCGCGGCCTGTCATGGAGTGGTTTAGCACTGGAAAATCGAACGCCAAGCAGCGGCAGGACTGGTTTCAGCCTGGAGACGTGGGTTAGTGACTCCAACAGATAAACACAACTATTTCAAAAGACACATGGCAGACTGTGAGTTATTTTTAAACTGTATCATAATATGTTAAGCGGCACGAGCCTTGAGTTTCAGATGCAAGGCAGAGGCCTCAAATCCAAAAGTCCTGCTCTGTTAAGATCCTTGGGCATGCGGTTTAAGAGTGGGCACCTCACGAAGGCCAGCTTGGTGTTGTAGAGTCGCACAAACTCGAGGTACTAAAGAAGCTGGGCGCCGCCAAAGACGGTAAAGCATCAAAACCTCAAGAGCGAAAAGCTCCATGAACGTCTTGAATTGGCCCCGGTCCGCGCAGGAAGTTCTCCGACACCTGGCAAAACTCCGGCTGCCGAGCACAGCCGCGGTTTTCGATTTGCATAGGCCTCGGTTGCTTCTGACTGGAGTCCAGCAATCCTCGCGTCCTCTGAACCTATGCAGCTCAACTCCACGAACTCCCGAACGCGCATTCCGGGCTTAGGACAGTGACAGGGGTTTGGGAGCGGCGGGGGTCCAACACAACACCGGGAAACCAATGCGAACCTTTTTTTTCGGCAGTGTAGGCTCAGGCCCCAGGCCTTGACTCCCCTAAACCCTTTAAACCCTTTAAACCCTAAACCCTAAACCCTAAACCCTAATCCAAGTCTGAGAGCCTGCGAAGTCTGTGGTTTTGCGACCCCAAACCTGAACTGAAGCGGTTTCGCGTCTTTGGCTCAGAGCTTTGAAGTTTGGGGAACCTGAACCGCCCTAAACCTAAACCCTAAACCCTAAACCCTAAACGCTGAAAAAACCCTAAAAGCCCTAAAAACCATAAACCCCAAGCCCTAATCCCTAAACAAAGTCCTCAACTCCAAGCCTCCTGCTTTGCAGAGCGCAGGCGCCACGTGCTCGACGTTCTTCGGGATCGGGGTTGGGAGGCTGGATGCCGGTGAGCCGTTGCTATTTTCGTATTCGTCTTCGGGTTTTGGGGCCTTGCCGGGGGGTTCTGAAGATGTCGAGAAGTGGTCTACGGCCCCTGTAGGTCGAAGTTCTCCATATTAGTGGGTTTAGGGTTTAGGGTTCCTCAATCCAGGCCTCACCCAGCCCTCGATCCGATATTCGGCTCGATCTTCGGGCAGGTGGATTATTTCCTTTGCTTTGACAAGCTTACGCCGGAGATCGTCAGGGACCAGAACATCACGGAGGCCCTTAGTGCGTCGTGAGGACATCGGACTCGGTCGCCCGAGCCTTCTGATCACAAAGCCATGCAAAGCCCACTCTGTGCAAGAGTTTCCTTTCAATGTCCGATATGGATATGGATACATGTATATATATATATATACAGATATACATATATATATATATATACACATAATACTTTTCGGCCGCGTATTGCTTGCAATACAAACCTCTTTTTCTGTCGTCCAGGCTTGGGGCTTCAAAGCAAAGCACCAGTACGACCGCATCCAGTCGTGCCTCCGGCGCGTGCACGCGCGAGAGGCGGGCAAAAGTGCGATTTCGCTGCAGGCCTAGGCCTCCGCCCGTGGAGTTGCGTAGCTGTGCCTGTAAGGGCCTTGGGCCACTTTAGCCGCAGCACATCAGGGGGCCTAAACCCTAAACCCTCAACCCTAAACCCTAAACCTTAAACCCTAAACCGGCCCCGAACCTAAGCATCGTTAAACGAACTGAAGGAGCGGTGTGGGGGAGTGCGCTACTCTCTCTTCTTCCGGCACCTCGGGCAGGTAATCGGACCATCTAGAGACGGGAGGGGTCATGAGGTGTCTGGGGACTTTTTTTGGTTGCAGGTTGCGTAGGGTGTTGAAGAGGCAGTTGACAGGTTTTCCGAAAGACTTTACGAAGCATACTAAACGCTTTCGACTTGTGGAGGGGCTCGATTAGGTCTCTATACGGGTTTAGGGTTTAGGGTTTAGGGGTTTAGGGTTTAGGGTTTAGGGTTCTGACGGCGAGGCTTTTGGGCGTGACTAGGGGTCAGGTTGCAGGGTGTTGGAGGCCCTTCCAAGTTTCCCAAGAATCCACCCTAAGCCCTACGCCTTAAACCCTAAACCCTAAACCTCTAAACCCGAAACACCCCAAGCCCTAAGCCCTAAGCCCTAAACCCCAAAACCCAGTGCGAAGTGGCAAGAGACCCACAGATTCCCATGAAGCTGACCTCCAAGAACGTCCTGGGAAGGGCTCGATCTAACTAACTAACTAACTAACTAACTAACTAACTAACTAACTAACTAACTAACTAAACTAAACTAAACTAAACTAAACTAAACTAACTAACTAACTAACTAACTAACTAACTAACTAACTAACTAACTAACTAACTAACTAACTAACTAACTAACTAACTAACTAACTAACTAACTAACTAACTAACTAACTTAACTAACTTAACTAACTAAGTAACTAACTAACTAAGTAACTAACTAACTAACTAACTAACTAACTAACTAACTAACTAAGTAACTAAGTAACTAACTAACTAACTAACTAACTAACTAACCAACTAACTAGCTAACTCACTCACTACCTGCACCACTACCTAACTAAGTACTTACCTACCTACCTACTTACCTACCTTCCTTCCTACCTTCCCCACCTTCCTACCTTCCTACCTTCCTACCTTCCTACCTTCCTACCTTCCTACCTTCCTACCTTCCGACCTTCCTACCTTCCGACCTTCCTACCTTCCGACCTTGATACCTTCCTAACTTCCTACCTTCCTACCTTCTTGCCTACCTACCTACGAACCTACCTACCCACCTACCTACTTACCTACCTACCTACCTACCTACCTACCTACCTACCTACCTACCTACCTACCTACCTACCTACCTACCTGCTCCTATATCGCATGTCTATCTTTTTTGAGGGGAGGGCTGTGTGGCGGGCTCTCTTTGTTGAGTGAGCAAGGATCCCAGGCAGCGTCGAAGCTTTGAGGGCCCAGGGTCTTAGTTGTTTTTGGGACGCTAGGGTTCAGGGGACAAGGGTTTGGGACTAGGGTTTGGAGCGTGGGGGTTTCGGGGTTCCGAGTTTAGAAACTTAAGGGTGGCCCCTCAACCCTAAACCCTAAACCCTAAACCCCGGGTCTTTCAGGGCAATAGCTCAGGACTTTGGAACGAAAGGGGCTTGGATCTTCCTGAGCTCTAAGCCCTAAAACCCTAAAGCCCTAAACCCTAAACCCTAAACCCCTAAACCCAAAACCCCTAAACCCTAAACCCTAAACACTAAAGCCCTAAACCCTAAACCCTAAACCTGTCAGGTCCACTGCGCTGCCGACTTGAGGCCTCCAGCCGAAACGTGGACGAGATGCCCTCGGGGTGGGGTGTGGCCGTTTTCGGTTCCGGGTCAAGGATAAGGGTTTAGGGTTTAGGGTTTAGGGTTTTGGGTTCCGGGTCAAGGATAAGGCCTGCAGGAGAGATTTGGAGCGTATACGGTTGTTTCGTAGCCCGGTAGAATGCGAATTGTTTTTGGAGCTCTGGCTTTTCGCCCCAGCGCGCTAGGCCAAAGGAAGACCCTCCCGAACTACTGCATGGTCACCTACGCCTAGACACCCTAAAGTGTAAACCAGAAGCCGGCAACCCTAAAACCCACAGCCGAAAATCCCTAAAACCCGAAAGACGCTGAACCCTAAACCCCCTAAAACCTCCAGCCCAAAAGCCCGACGCCATGAGCGCCCCTAAGTGGAAGCTCTCGGCCCACTGCGAGGCTTGAGATGATCATCCACGAGCTCCAGTCGTCCTGGCGATGGTTGGTTTAGGGGTTTAGGGTTTAGGGGTTTAGGGTTTAGGGTTTAGGGTTTAGGGATCTTCTTGATCGCATGATGTATATGGGTAGCTCTCTGAATTAGGGTCCCTTTGTTAGGTCAACAAGCTAGTACGGCACCCTTATAAGCAGGCCCTCAGAAGGGACCCTAATTTAGACAACTGCCCATATACATGTACTTAATACATATACATGCACCTGTGCATATAGCTATACATATAGTTACATATGCATAGACATACAGACAGGCGCGTGTGCGTATGTGTGTATATATATATATATATATATATGTGGGTAGTTCTCTAAATTAGGGTCCTTTACTTTTTGGGGTCCTTCCTATGAGGGTGCTGTACTATATTGGGGACCTAGAACGGGACCC